AAGGATTATCTCCCTCATGCATAGCTCTGATCCTTCGACGTATTTGGCTCCAGTCTTTGGCACTTTTTTCAGCTCTTCCAATTCTTTTTATTATGTTCCCCAAACGAAGTTTGGGAACATATTGTTTTTACTCTGTTTCTTATTAAGGTCTTCTGACTTCCTTCGGAAGACCTTATTATTTTCCGTCTGTTTTCTATTATTATTATTATTCTTTTTTTCATAGTACAGGCCATATCTCAGCTATGCGTGGATCAATTTAAAAGATTTTTTCAGGGAAGATGCATCATGAATATATCTCCAGGGGTGTCCCTCACTTTTTTGAAATTCACTTCCGTTCGCGATTTTTGGGGAAAATTGTATTTTTTAAATGGAATTTTGTCCGTTAATTTTCTCGAGAACGGCTAAAGATATGAAATTGAAACTCACGGACGTGATAGAATATGAAATGGAGATATGGTGATCGACCTTTATTTTTCGTCGTTCGTACTTCCGGTCGCGAACGGAAGTGATTTCAAAAATGTTAAATTTGCAACTTTTTTGCTTTTCAGTATTTTTCTTTGAAATTTACAGGGTTGATAGAGAGTCTTTTAAGAGTTCTATGTATGTTTTCATCATTTTGATTGATGCATTTATTGCAAAGATATGACCGATGCAAACTTTCTCGTATGTTGCTGGGGCGGGAGATTGTTTCTCTCTTTTTTTCAGTTGTAAATAATATTTTTCTCCGTGAAGACATGTATGATAGTTTTTGCTTATTTTTAAAGCTTTGTTTACAGAGATTCTACAGAAATCCTTTAATAATTATGAGCTATGTTGAAAGACTGTGTTACATGAACGTAAACGAAAATTACCTTCAATAAAGTATTAAATGAAGTGAGATGGCATAGCGTTCTAGAGAAAAGTTCGGTCGGAAGACCACTTGTTGCCGTAGCAACAAGAAACGCATCTAGTTATTATTATTAGGTCTTCCGTTCACAACGGAAGACCTATAGTGATTGTATTGTTTCTTTTTATTATTATTATTATTATTATTATTATTCCTCCCAAATTTTGTGAGCGCGATTACTCAGAGATATTTCGATAGATTTTCACAATTTTTTACAGGATAATATGTTGATATGTGAAGTTTATATAAAATTCCGTTTTTTGAAAGATTCACTTCCGGTCCGACGTTATGGCCGAATTTCCAATTTTAAAATGGACTTTTGTCCGGCGTTTTTCTCAAAAACGGTTTGTGGTAAAGATGTGAAATTTTCAGGAGTATTAGATCATGACATTCTCTTTGTTTCGAAGTTGTTTTCGTGTGTTTCCGGTACTTCCTGTCCGAACCGGAAGTGACCTTGTGTTTGGTCAATTTTTAACTTTTTTGTTTTTTAATATTTTTTCAAGATATTGTTAGGCATAACAGAAATTAGTCTACAAATACCAAATATATAATTTGTTTTGAAATTGCATGGTGCATTTTTGAGATTTTAGGTACCGTAATTTCCCCCATTTTCCTAGTGTGTATACAATGGGCAAAGAAAGATAACTCTGATTTGTAAGTGAGAATAGAACTTTCGAGATAAAGGTGGAAATAGTATCGATGACGTCGAAGACGTATGCACTCTCCATATAGAAATATTAAGACGTTCCACATTCACTCGATCTTCTACGTGTAGGAGTTAGTTACCCAATTCAGTGTGTGTATAGTATAAAGTTGCCCGTGCAGTGTAAGTCTGTATTGACAGTTATTGAAGAAAGCTTATGTATTTACACATGTAAATGATATATGCCAGCTAGCACATTGAAGTAAATATATTATATACAATATATATTTTTAGTGACGACATGCAATTTTATCTAGCTCTTATAATTCAGAATAAGACTGTTACTAAGTCTTCTATAACGCAGGCAATTTTTTATTCTTTAAATTCAGTTTACGATTTGAATGCCAAATATCCCGATTTTCAAGTTTCATTAATAGCCACGTCCTAAACGCAAAGAAAAAGCCTATTTCGTGGTGGTGATGGTGGGGTCCACGTTTTCAAAGGGGGGTCCAAAGTCATTTTTTATTTGCTTCAGTATATACGTTTAATAACTCTGCAAATTCCAGGAGGGGGTCCGGACTCACCCCGACCCCCCTCTAGATTCGCGCATGCCCCCCCCCCCCCACCTTGATTTAGCGCAAATAGTCATTTGAATTATATATTCATTATAGATTTAAATCCAGAACATGTAATTTTAGTTACAGTATACATGTACGCAGAATTTCATATTTTATAATGGTAGAATTTTTTCTTATAATATGACATTCTGATATTGAAATGTTAAATTTACATGTACATGTCAGAGAGAGAGAAAGAGAGATTCCCTCTTGATACCTATCCTCCTATCCATATACATAGATCAAAGAAACGTTCTATATCAGTCACCCGTTCTTTAATAAATGTGTTTTGATTTTATAGTCAGTCATGAACAAAACATGTATTTTTTTCTGCTTAAAATGTATCACGCAAAGTGTACATGTGTTTGACCTGTCAATCAATATCACTTGACGCTGTATGAACTGCAGTAAAGTACACGTATTTCGAAATGATCTTTCAGTAAATCTGATGCAACGAACTTTTGAAAAAATAAAATGGGGACATGGTTAGAGGGTTAGGAGGCGTTGTGTGTTTATCAAACCTTTCAAATACTTGCGTCTTCATCATATCTCTGTCTTTAACTTAGATTGTTAAATAATAATTGAATAATCTTTCCTATAGTTAAGTCTTTGTTGGCATGCTGTCAAATCATGATATTGTTCTACAAAACTCAGTGACTTTACCTTTAATGTTTACTAAATCATTATATGCAAATCAGCAAATCCTCGTCGAATTCAGAAAAAGGGGGGGGGCGCTCTTACTTAGATCAAACAGCAATCATACGTGTAATAGCTTGGGAGAGAACTGAGATAGGAAAGCTGACCCGTCTACAGCTCAGCTATATATATTCGCTAGTTTGTTTGTGTATTATCATTACTATAGATATTTTGTTTTTTTTAAGCTAGTGAAGTGGAATATACAATTCTTGATCCAGATATTTTTTATTACACCATCACAATTATGCCAGAACTTAAATGTGCACTTAAATATGACAAATATCCTTCAATGTACTTATTTTTTAAAATAATTTCAATTTCTGATATATTAAAGCCAATCTAATTAAAGTATTAAAGCATCATGCTTTCTAGTCATCAAACTATACACACACGTAGTACGGTGTTCGTTCGTCTGTATAAATGTTTGCAAACAACTTTTTTTAAAATTATAACTCATCTTAGTTTTAATCCAAAATGTGTAAGACGTGGCCAAAAGCCAGAAAATATACATATACTGAATGGTGTTGCAAAAGTACCTGAAAAAAAAAAAACCGCTACTTTTCATACAGATTTGTGTGAATATTTTTTTATGATATACGTATAGGGCCTAGCTCTGATAGAGGTCTATCCCTAGGGGCCAAATGCAGTATACAAGATATTGGCCATTAAAAAAAATACTGCTAACAATCTCTGGAGTAACATCTCTTAAACAACCAGAATCAATTTCGTATTTTAAAGATGAATGATCTCTCAAGTTTCATCCATTCAGAAAACTTTCATAGATTATAGGCATTTTATTCCTGCTGTTCAATCCAATTCATTTGCAATGAATAAAATATTTTTTAATCTAAAACTTTCATAAATGTTTGAAATAATTGTAATCTGAAAGACTCCTTCAGTTAATATATAGAAGTAATTGTTAACATTTTACTTTTTGAGAGTTTTTGTTGTTGTTGTTACAATAATCTCACGAACATGATATAGGCTAACCGTGGGACAGTAACTTTTTTACACGTAAAGGCATGGGACAAATATTTTTTTTTCAATACGAAAGCCATGGGACATATACTTTTTTTAATGAGATTTTTTTTGTACCGGTCCCATCATTCTGATAAATTGCCTGATCCCTTAGCTTAGAGATTTACATTGAAAAAGAAAATGTTTCGGGGAAAGAAAGATAACTAACTTGTCAGTGAGAATTGTTGCTCTCCAGTAATAAAGGTGAAAATAATGCCATTTAGACAACTGTTATAACAACTTGAACTTGTAGAAAGTTTTTTCTCCATAAAAAATGATTTCCCCGTTAAGCATTGTATATATCTACCCATTTTAACAGTAATTGACTGATGTATGTATAGTACCCAGTAGTCATGGTAGTATTGCTGTGTAAGACTGTCAATTGACGGTGAGATTTTTTACGTCTTTGAAATATCTGGTAACCTTGGTAACACAAACTGATAAATGTCAGAATGTTCACTTACAGTGATAGAAAATATTATGTATTTAATAGAGTACAGACTTGCCTTTTATAATGCAAACCTGCCTACTCTACCGAGGTTTTATGAATGTAATGTTTCTAAAATGTAAAAAATTATTTTGTTTGCCCATTTGAGATTATTTAAACTCGTCTTAAACTGTTAAATGCACCCCTTGCCAGTGGAAAGCTGTAAATGTAGTCATATGTTTGGCACTTTTGACCATTGAGCAGTGACTGAGTGAGTAATCCTGCTTATGCCAGCATCTAATATTAGTGACAGACAGGGCATATAAATAATTTAATTAAATGCTCTAAGTAGAGGGAATGGGACTCATTGTCATGGAGTGGGACTTGGACCTGCACCATAAGGATAAGAACTACTTATTCATGTAACATAGCTACTCTATAATATCAAAAAGGTCTATAACCTGTGCTCCAAGCACAGTTAAGACTAAAATTTGTCTTTTTTATGCGAAATGAAATGAAATTATGTGCTAAATGAATGAGTATGTGAAAGCTGTTGTTATAATATTAATATAACTTTTATAAATCTTAAGCTATAGGCATTCTGTATGCCCTGTTCACCCATCTTTGATCAGCTCTTTTGAAGCTACAAAGATCATATTGATGTTTTTGAAAGAACATTTTAATGACAGATTTTTTTTTAACCCTCAGGTAGTGTTGTAGAGTAGATTGTTTATGTACAAGGCATTCCTTGATGAATTCATGGTGACTTCTACAAACAGAAAACTATACCTTATGGATTACTGTCCACACCTGTTCTTGTAAGTGACCTAAACTTGGTAAAGGAAACTGGATTAAAAAATTCTTGTTACTAATAGTTTTATTAAAGTTGTGAGTAAGTATTGTTAGGATTAATATATATAAATGATTCAGTGTAAGATATTTCACGAAAACTCAATTATAAACTTATCATTTTGACCGCACAAACAGTTAAATTACTGTTATCATACTGCATGAGCTTGCCACAGGATCTATTCTTTTTTGATACATCTAATGAAAAGTTTAAATCAGAAAATTGAATGTAAAGTTTTACAAATCGTAATTGCAATGTACGTAGACTCTACATTCTATTTCTCTTAGAGATGATGGTGGATTTAAAAGTCATTGGGTTGTTGTTCAGTTTAGCACAGGTGTTAAGGCAACATATTGAAAGAAGCACAGAAACTTTCACAGGCAGGAAGTGCATATGGGATGTAGGTCAAAAGGAATCTAGACCTAAAGAACTTGGTGGATAATGGAGGTGAAATAATAGTTGCTTTGATTATATAAATATTAAGGAGTATTGTTTGAGTATTTTACTTTGTCATACGACTCGTACCAACTTAGTCATATTTTTTTTATTTTGTGCAATTGCTATTTAAAAATATTTTGCTAAATAGTAATATTAAATGCAAGTTGATAAAATTGAGAGATTTTTTTTTCAGATGGACTATTAGCTGAGACTAGCCCTTCTGCTACTGCGGATCAAATTTATTTAACACATAATTTACTAATTTAATCCTTCCTTTGATGCTTTATATCAGTTAATTTTATGAATGGACTTGCTGTTTGTGCAGCAGGTAGGATCGGAGTCCTAGAGCTTAAATGTTCATACAAATGCTGTATAATAGAAATTGCACATTAAACCATATTTGTAATGAAAATTAAATACCATTTAATTTGGTATAATTTGTACAAGTTCTACTTTTGTAATCTCAAACATTTACACGGAAAGAAAAAATAAAAATTTTACACAAATAGATATACAGTTCAGATTAAATTAATTTCTGAATGAAGAGGGCACCAAAATAAGAAGAAATGCTGTAACTTTTACCATGTGGTCTCCAACTGATCTTGAGGACAAGGGAATTTAACAACAAAGTCTGAATGATTTTAGTCTCGGAGGATGGCTGTTTCTACTCAAGTTAGTTGCTCAGAAATCTTTTGATTTGTATTTTTTTCTGGAAAACCTGTGCTATATGAAGAGAATTTTGAAAGATGCAGTATTTAAAAAAAATAGGGTTAAGCAGTTGTTTCAGGAATCACTGTCTGAGTTTTATGGGTATGCCAGAGCATTAATAATAGTTGGAAATGTGGGATAATTTGCAAAACAGCCTAATACGGAATTCTTGAATGTATGCAGAAAAATCAACGAATATAGTAAAGTATCTTATACAAAGTGGAATAAAAAATTTATTACAATTTCAACAACAAAATACTGTTTAAATTTATAACAGACTACATTCGGTAATGACCAATATTTGCCCCCAAAATCAAAATTTGACAGAGAAATACATAACAATAATGTTCTAAAACAGGGGGATGTCTGCAGACTTCAAAGCACTGAATATTTTCATGAACCATGATGTCATAATTTACATATGACGTCAGAAAAAGACGCAAGTTCGAAATTTCCATGATTTACTCAGAAAAAGGTTTATATTACATCAATATTTTGAGTAAAAGTCACCAAGCACAGGTCTGCTTCAACTCAATATTTGATATAATGGGTAGGATAATAATGTCAATGAAATATGTCAATAACGTCCTGGAGCAGGCCTGCGCTCTATAAATTTTAAATATTGAACAAATTTTGTCCATTTTTTTCTCTTTCTGAAAAATTACATAAAATCCGAATAGTTTGTGACGTCATAGAAATACAAATTGCCAATTAGCTACTTTGAAACTATAATAGTTTTTGTAAGTTTAGAATCTCAAACAATATATACTATTCAGCACATTTAAAGAAATTTTCAAAATATGACTTTTGTGTGGGACAAAAAAATGCATTTACTGCATATAGTTCTTTAATAGAAATGAAATTTTTTCACTGAAATATTAGAAGGTTGCAAAACTTGAGGTTTTCCTTCCCTTCATTAAAAAAAAACAACAAAATTCTAATAATAAGAAAACGAGACTAAAGGAACCATCCTAGTACACTTTAGAAAATATCCACCCTAAATCATGTTCCACTCATGAATTAGATTTCATATATATCCAAGCCAAAAAAAAAAAAAAACAAAAAAAACCAAAAAAAAACAAAAAAAAAAAACTTAAAAACATAGGTAATCAGAGATTACAGAGCTCATCTCAACAAATGTTGTCTTTCAGTAAGGCAAGCTCCCCCATTAAACTAATAATCTAGAAGTGCACATCCCAGGATGCAACATTCATGCAATTTTGATCCGATAGGGCTTGCAGTTACTTGAGAATGAACTTATCCAAAACTTTAAAGTAAGTCACTCATCCAAAAAATCCATACATTAATCAGGGATGCATAGAAAATGCTTACAGTGTGTTTCAATGTACCAGTCAAGGTTATGACGCGAGGAACCCATGTTTATACAGATATAGATACACATTGCCTTCAATAGTGTTATATAAAAAATAACATTTGCAAATGTAAATATTTGGGAATGAACTTATCCAAAACTTTAAACAAGTCACTCATCCAAAAATTGTAATTCAAATCCAGCATCTGAAGCAAGTTTAAGACTGTTCATCCCTTGATGCATCATCCATGCAAGTTTGGTTCAGATAGGCCTTATAGTTTCTTGGTAATTGACCTACACCAAAAACTTTAACCTGATCACTCATCTGATGTATCATCCATGCAAGTTTGGACAAGGAAAGGCAGATAGTTACTCTAGAATGAACGTGCTCCAAAAACTTTAACCTGGTCCCTCATCTGGAAAATGTAGGTCAGATCCAGCATCCAAAGCAAGTCCAGTAGTGTGTATCATAAGATGTATCAACAATGCAAGTTTGGTCAACATAGGACTTATAGTTACTTTAGAAATGAACCAGCTCCAAAAACTTTAACCTGGTCATTCACCTGGAAAATGTAGGTCATATCCAGCATCCGAAGCAAGCCTGGTAGTGTGCATCCTTAGATGTATTATCCATACAAATTTGGTCAACATAAGGCTAATAGTTACTTTAGAATGAACCTGTTCAAAAACTTTAAACCTGGTCACTCATCTGGAAAATGTAGGTCAGATCCAGCATCCAAAACAAGCCTGGTAATGTGAATCCTTAGATATATCATCTATGCAAGTGTAGTCAACATGGGACTTGTAGTTACTTGGAAATGAGACCTGCTCAAAAACCATAACCTGCTCTAAAACATTAGCCTAGTCATTCCTTTTTTTGCAGCATCTGAAACCTTGACTGGTACAATGAAACACACTATAAGCATTTTCTATGCATCCCTGATTAATGTATGGCTTAGAAGTACTTGATAAGAAAACTGCACCAAAAACTTTAACCTGGGATGCCAACGGTATCACATAAGCTCTCCAAACTTCGTTGAGGCGAGCTAAAAATTCATTTGACATGAATTTCTTCACATTCTCATTTTAAATTCTACATCACTATAGAAAGGCAAGAGAAGGTTCTCTGTTTCTTTTTTTCTCATACCTCCTATATTTATCAGTTTATGTTCTGATCTTGCTACTTCTTAGTGTACAACTCCTACCCCTTCCAAGACACTTTTTTTTACGAGATTTCAAAAAACATTGGAATGTAAATGATAATTTTTAATTTTTCCATAACATTGTCTCAGGAAATTTTAAATTCTCATGCCTGTGGTATGTCAGATGTTAACATTGCTTGTTCATGTACAACTCTACTCCTTTCCAAGAAATTTTTGAACAGAGAATAACACAAAATATATTGAAATATAGATAACTCTCCAGAAATTTATAGATTTTCAAAAGCTTATTGTCTCTCAAAAAATTTCTGAGGGAAAAAGGTGGGACTTAACAAGTATTTCACTGGTACTGAATTTTTACCCCTTTTTAAAATAACTTTCATAAGCTGCTGCCATTTCTATTTTAATCTGTTTCTTTTTTTTAAATGATTCAAAATGACTACTGCTTAATGTTGGATTTTCAGTTTATTCAATATAGTTTAACACTATTTGATTGGATAAAAAAATACATTTACATGTATATCGTATAACCTGTGTTGCCTATATCACAATGACTTGCATCAAAAAAACTTATCAATCTGATTGACGATACATTTAAAATACATTTATCAACAATTAAAAGGCATTTTTGAAATAAAAATTGTCTTATATTTAACACTTAATGATAGAAAATTTAATAATATCGAATGAATTTAATAGCTACCCAAGTTATATTGTATAACCTGGGTTGGGACTGTTTACACTTTTCTATAAACCGTTTCAAGGTTTATAAAGCGTAAACTGTCCCAACCCAGGTTATAAAGTATAACTTGGGCAGCTATTAAATTCATTCCTTAAATACATAAATATGTGACATAATAAAACCATATTCTCTCTCTCCCTATATATAATAGTTGAGTGTAACATTGAAAATTTTCACCCCAAGAAAACCATTGTCAACAGAGGTGCAAATTACAAGCTATATATATTATATTATACTGAATGTTTTATAAGTACATATATGTTCAGTGAACCTTGCGTGCATAAATTCTGCGCAGTCACTATTTTTTGGAATATCACCTGTCGTCAAGCAATATTGACTGTTGCTACGCTGGAGGGCGTGGCTTCATCATTCAGCGGGTAATAGTGTTTTTTAACAAATGTTTCTTGATGAATCAGATTCAACTAATTTACATGAAAGCATAATATAAATATATAACTGACATAATTTACCCTAAGTATATCAACATTGCATAAAAATATCTACATGAGTTACAGAAAGAGTTGTTCCCCTTTACACACATCAGAACCTTTTAAAACTATAGATGAATATATGTACCTATATGACAAGTCCTTGTATAGGTCATGGGTATCAATTTGATAATGACAATACATGCATCCTTAAAGCTTAATGCTTATTGAGTAGAATATAATAATTGCAAAGTTAATGATTTGGATAAAAAAAAAAACACATAGTTTAAGTAACATATTGTAACCTTCATTTGTCATAATTAGAGATAGTTTATAAATACTGTAAATCACAAATTCACATCATCATCAAATATTCAAATATATATAAACTGAAAGAGTTACATCACTGTGTAAGATAATTACTTAGTGCAGCTTATTCATGCATAACTCAGTTGAAAAAGAAATAGACAGCTGTACTAGATTCGGCAAAGGTACAATAATGTTTGAGGTTAAAGTTACAATTTTGCAGAAATGGTACATGATGAGCTACAGTCTAGTTCCCAAGCCAATTGGGACACAGAAAATTTTACTCTCCATAGCTGTTTACAAGAGAAGTCCTCAAGTCACTTTTACATCCAAATTAACTCTTCCAAAGTCTTTCAAGTTGGGATACTAAATTTTAGGCTCCTCTTTGCAGCTGTTCAACCATTCCATGCTTTTATGACAAAGTCCTGCATGTTGAAGTACTGAATATGATTAGATGTGTCATGCTGAGATTGATTTCTGCAACGACTCTTCCTCTGAGAATACAATAAACAGGAAAAGCAGTAGGTACATCAAATTAATACTACACAATAACAAGATGGAAAATTTTTACCAACCAAAGATGATGCTGGAAAATTGAAAAAGGAAGTTGCAATTGAAGCACCCTCAAGTGTATATGTTAATGGGCAATTATCAATAATCATTAAATGATAACCTTTTAAAATAAGTTTTAAGATTTAGGTAAACCATTCATGCACTTCCTTTGATAACATAATCTAATTCAGTGCGAATTAGCTAGGATAATAAGTACATGCATGTATTTTTTCAAAAAAAGCTAACAGTTTTCAAAAAAACAAAACAGAGGCCCATGGGCCACATTGCTCACCTGAGCATTTTATTTAGGCAGGAAAAACAGAAAGATCAGTACTGAAAAGCTTGAAATTGTGAAAAGTTTAGGACAAACAACGAACAAATTTTGATCAGAAAAGCTCAGTTAAGCCTTTGGCTCAATGAGCTAAAAAAAACTAGGGGTGCTGTGGGCACTAAGCTTGTTTAATAGGTCAAAGTCAGCTGACGTGTTCCTAAAATAACTGTTTTGTCTCTTTGTATTAATATATATATAATATATACAAAACAATCTTAATAAGTATCATCATCGTGTGATTTAGAAACTGTTTTCAAATTGTCTTTTAAAAGAAATATGCTAAAATTAAAGATATTGACAATTATATTAATATCCAATAGTTATTGTCATCTTCTGGTATCTTGCGCAAATGTCTGGTAAGGTACCTCAACTTTTTGTAAGCAAATTTGTTAAAGTGGCATTACTTTAATTAAAAATTCTTAAGGAAAATTAGACATTATTGAGGAACATGTTGTCTGACCTTAAAAGTCATTGGGATCTTTTGTTTTTTGTTTGTTTGCAGGGTTTGACATTAAGGCACATCCGACTGACCCAGTCTAGTAAATGAGTGGTCCGGTCGTGTGAAATATACAAAAGTAAATTTTCAAGTTTGGTCAGGGCTAGTGATTTTATGGTCAGGGCTAGTAAAAATTATTTGAAGTAGCCCGACTGGTCTCGTACTCGTAAAAGTTAATGTCAAACCCTGAAAGTTTGTTTGTTGTTTTATGCCCCTCTCAAGAATTTTTCACTTAATATATGGAGATGCCACCACTTGCCAATGGAGAGCTGCAAATTTTAACCTATACTCGGCACTCAGGGCCATTGAGCAGAGAGGGATCTTTTTCGTGCCAGCACCTACTGTGACACGGGACCTCGGTTTATACTGTTTCATCCGAAGGACCGATCTCCGTGTCCCACAGTGGGATTCGAACCTGCAACGTAAGGATCAACTCCTTACTCTGTGACTCTAGAGCAGACGCTCTTACCACTGTGCCACGCGGGTGACTTTTGATATATTTACAGACCTACTTACCCTTTTTGTTTCAGAGGTTTATTAATCTAAATCCTCATTTTGATGAGGCATAACTATATGTATTTTCCTATTTTGATGTCTTGTGATGATTTTGTTTAATTTAAATAAGACTATATATTATATTTCATATAATAAAAGAAGAAAAGTTAAATTTAACGTAGAACTTACGTTGTATGACATCATAGTTAAATGAACGAATGCAAGACTGTCTCAGCTAATGAAAATACACAACTGTGATAAATGAATGACATGCAACTATTTTGAAATCTTCAGTCGACTATTTTAAAAATAGCAAAATATCTTGATGATATATCGTCTGAGTCTCTGTTTGTAATATCTACTATGAAATGAAATGTATTCATTTTCAAAATTATTTCTTAATTATTCATTTGAATTTTTAGTGGTTTAATTGTGTATGATAATAACAATTAAATGGCTAAAAATATTAATTTTTAGAATTATAGAAATTTCATTTTTTGATAAATATTGTTATTGTAAATATGAAAGTAACACCAAAACATCCATTTATTCATGAAATCCTGTGTTTAAGTACAAAAAGATCAACATGACTAGTTTTGATAAAAAAAAAAACCCATCTCTCTCATTAGTTTGTGGGGAAAGGTATATATTTTAATCATTTTTCGTAATCATTTGGGTATGCTCTTCATCATATTAAGGATTGAAAACACTGTCACAAAGACTTTTGGTAAATATTTACAAATTTAGAGTTTTAGATGGACTAAAAAATCCTTTTAAAAATTTTGAACACATTTGCATATATTTAAGAGGGCTGGGTGGTTGTGGCCATTTTCAGACTATATTGATCTCCTTTAGAAGAAGAGCTACATATAAAGATATACAAAAATGATCAAATTTTAAAACTAAAATGTATGGAATTTTTGTTTGCCAAATGATAGTTGACAGCTTAAGATATCATATCTAAAAAATTAAGTTATATCTGATGGTTAATTTGTTGACCCCCCAGCCTCCTTAATGAAATGTGGATTTAATCTTTTATGTCAATTGAAGAAAAGGAATTTAATTTTTAATAATATTTCTAACTATTCTTCAGTAAAAGAAGTCTATCAACAAAGGTGTTTGAAGTATTTTTGTGATTTTCTTTATTCTCCTTATGACCATGTGCCCCTAAAAATGGCTAAAATTTATAGTTGCAGTGTATAATAATCATTCTAAATTGCACCAGCTGCATTAAATTTAATATCAAGGAAACATGCCATGTATTTTTAACTGATAAATAAGCAAGTGCTAATTACTCATTTTGAAAATCATGTGACAAAGGCTTCACCGACACAAGTTCTACCTTAAGTCAGTTATTGACAAAAATTACATGTTCTATAAAACATCCAAATCCTAAAATCCTGTGTCTTAAAGTTATAACTGATGTCTTAAAGACCTATTTGGTCAATACCTTTCCTATTACAACTAATTCAATATGTTGGTGGTATTAATAGCATATTTTTTTATAATTCATATTGTTTCAGTGTATGATATATTTGCATCTTCTTCATCTTCCCATTTTTCGACCGAGTGCATAATAATGTAGTTAAGTAAAAATAAAAAGGGAAGTATTAAAAGAGGAGGGATAGGCAGGTCTTTGTGTAGAATTATAATATCAGAAATATTTGAACATTTTTTTGGTGCAAGTTTGCTCTCGGTAAACCCTATGCTCAATTGAACAAACTTTTTTCTTGTTCCTGAAAATAACAGGAAATAGTTACTTTTTGACGACAGAGGAACAAGAATTACTGAAGTTCCCTGTAAGGACCTGTTACTGAATTCCCACTTACTAACCTTCTTCCCATATTCATGGCAACTTGTTTAAAGAACTGCATACTGGTTGGCATCCACTGTCTCATGAGTTTGGACTGATTGATAACTAAATTTTGCCTAATTTTCTGCATTTCTATTTGATTCAAATGCAACTGAAAATAAAAGAAATTCTATTAGTAATATTCAACATTACAGCAAAATGCAAACTATTTATCTGTTTCTTCTCAGTCAAATATAAAAATATTTTTTGATATAACATTGCATGGTTATAGCGTAATGTACGTATTAAATCATATCATAAAGTAAATCTTTTCTCATTCCTTTTTTTTCTTTAAAATGATACTAAATTCTCACAAAACTTTCTAAAATTACTCACAAATACATGTATATATCAATCCAAAGGCCCATCATACTTTTTATCATGGCGGTTGGGAGGAGAATCACACCGTGTAAGTTGCAATATCAACCACAATGCCTGAAGAAACAATAAAAGATAAAGTCACAAAGAATATCTTTTTCACAAAATTTCTCTGATGTGTGCACAAATCTACATTCAACTATTGAAGAATATCAGTACCTACTAAGTTAGAGCTTTTATTAAAAACCCATGTATTATTAAAGAATTTGAAATCTTCCAACAATGCTACACCAAGTCAAAATTAAAGGAATACTACCTGAAAAATTATTTTTGATAAAATAAAATATGGTGAAGCCTGTCTAATCTTATATGCACTGGGAGAAATGTTGTACCAGAATGGACAGGGTATCAGATTATACAATAAAAAGAACATGCTGTCAAATAAGTAATTACTGTATAAGATAAAATATGTTCCAAAAACTATTTTTTATTAAAAAAAGAAAAACAACAATATAATATGGATATACATGTATCAGCATAAACAATCTTTGCGATATATTTATGCTAGTATTCTGCATACTACTCTGTGATAGAAACATTTATGTGATTTTGACATTTTCCATGAAAGGATATAATCTTGCTTCCAATACTAAATGCAAACTTAAAAGAAATTCCATTCTAGTTTTTTGCAAATTTTCTGCTTAAACTTCAATTTTACCAAAGAATAAAAACAGGTACTTAATACACATTTTTTAAATTTAAGTAGTTGTTTTAATTATACATGCGCTGTAACATATGTATATGCACACTTACAAATAACTCTACAAAATACCCCTTCAAATTAAAAAGACACAAATAATTTTGTAGTTTTGATACACACAAGAGTTTTCTTCTTGTTCATTATTAGCAATGACATCGTATTACATTATCTTTTAAGTTTAAAATCTTAAAATTTGTTTCATTTATTTCAAGTCTAATCATTTTTTATGTTGTTTTTATGTAGACATACAAGTATAATCAGTAAAAAAAGTGATATTAATTTACAAAACAATAATAATGTATACCTTTCAGAAGTATAATGCATTTATTCTACTTTAAGTTTTGTCTGCTTATGGAAGCTCTAAACACTGCACACTAAGGAGTTCTACTTATGGTGTAGTTTTATGCAGTTAGAGTGATCTGCCCTTAGAAGTAAGATAGAAAAAAATGGTTATTTAGTATTTACAGTTAATTACACAATTTGTAATAGATCAGAATATTCCTAGCATTATATTAGACCGAGAATAAGTAATTGAATTCATTTTTTCCATTAATTTTCCCAATGTAAGTAAACAACAGTGATTTCTGCTCACGCATAGTCCATTGTCTTGCAGAAATAAGGCAGGTACCCTATGTTGAACATGAACTAGACTCAATATGCACACCTTTATATGATATATTTTTCTCCAAGTCCAAAAAGCACTTTCTGTTAGTGTTTAGAGCTTCCTTAATACCTTCTTTTAAGAATAATTTCCACAGCTTCATGGTAACTAAAGTAGACTGGCATTTTCTTCACAACTGCATCAACCTGTTCATTGATATAGACATGGTCCAGTGTGGTTCCACCTTCTGTTGTGTAGAAATGAACAATCTGCTTGAATCCTTTTGACTCTAGGAATGTTTGAATAGGCCCATGTGTTTGAGTATCTTCATTAAAGTCCCCCATAATGACACAATGGGAATAACACTCCTGAAATCTACAGACAACACTCCAAAGACTGTCTAGGAAGCAATGAACATTCAGAATGCCTGGACGATACACTATGATAACTAAAGTGTCATCATCATGTAGTTCTAGTGTCAGTCCTTCAAGGTTATTCTGGGAAAGTGGTTTTACTGAAACATTTTTTTCTGCATGCCTTCTGTACAATCCCACTCCTCCCCCCTTTGCACAATGCAATTTTGCAAATTTTCCATCACTCCCATTGTAACATTGCTTTCTTGGTACATGATGGAATTCAAATGCGTCCAATTGCAGTTCTCTAACATTTTGATCATCCCTCAGCCAGGTCTCTGTTAATGCTATAAAATCAGCCTTTAAGAACCTATTGTCACTTGCAATGTCCCTCATGTGTCTCCTTAAACTTTGCACATTGAAAAGGTGGATTGTAAAGTAATTTTTCATTTGTAAATGACAAATTGGTACAGTTTCCTCTGGGATAAATTTCTCCATACCACTCAGAGCCAATTTTACATCTGGGTCAGCATATATTTTATTAAACAGAATGTTCTCATTGTTAGTTTCAATGAATAACCCATTCTTTGATGTTACTCGACTAATTGCAACATATGCTTGTCCTGCTGAAAAAGCTCTGTCTAAATTGACTACCACACTTTGAGTGGTCATTCCTTGGACTTTGTGTGCTGTGCATGCCCATGATAATTTGAGTGGAAACTGATGTCTAACCACACTTCTGGCATTTTTCTCTTTTATGTCTTCTTGTGCTCTGGAAATTAAAACTAGATTCCCATTTGCAGTCTTCGTGCCTGTTAGTTTTCCTATATCTTTACTGTCAAATACAACCCCAATAACATGAACACAATTTTTCTGATCTTTTCTATATTCCAAATGAGAAACATGTCCCATAGCACCATTTACTAATCCATCTTCAACATTCACATTTCTTGTAAGCATAACTCTTGCATTGACCGCTAAAAGCAAAGTAGTTGGTAAGCCATCTGATGTCATCCTTACATAAGGTTTACTACGAAGAGACAACTTTCCAGTTGTGTTGTCCTTTTGGTAATCTTCAGCTTGAACTTCAGTCAAATCTTCACAGTTTGTTTGTAACATCCTTAGATTGTATTCATTAGCTTCTTCGTTTGTTGAATAAACATGCAAAACATTCTCTGGACCTTCTCTGATGCATTCTTGAAGCACTGCCATTGCCTGCTCTGAAATTGCTTCAGTTCCTGATCTATCTCGTAATGAATTCAACACACATGCAAATTCATAATCTTCACGTTGTCGCATTACTTCATCTAGTTCAACAATCTTGAAGAAATTAAGCCAGTAGTCAACAGGATATGAACCATTCTCTTTGTATAACCTCTCATCTTTTCTCTGTTTTACTGGAGGGAGTTCATAAAAATCCCCGACTGCTATCACAGACACCCCACCAAAAGGTTCTTTAGATTTCTTGATTTGCACAAGCCTTTCATGAATGTAATATAGTAGTCTTTTATAAACCATCGAAACTTCATCAATGATCAAAATCTGTAAACATTCCAGTCTGGTTCTAATTGCACTAAGATTCTGTTCCTTTAATGGTTCATAAGGAAATGGTAAAGCCTTTTTCAGAGAAAATACATGATGAATTGTATTTCCACCAATGTTGAATGCTGCAGTTCCAGTGAAGGCTGTGAGAATCACTGACAAGTCATTGGGTGAATTCAATGTTCTCTCAAACAGACGTGAGGCTTCATAGTGAATCGTCTTGATCAAGTGACTTTTACCTGTCCCAGCACCTCCTGTTACAAATACATGCAGTGGTTCAATGTTCTCTCCAGATATCTTATTCAAACACCATTCACGCACAGCATAAAAAATTTCTTTTTGTTTCATATTCAAACCTTGCAACATTGGAATGATCTCTTCTCTCGAGTGACTAGGTTCTGCTATATGAAACAGCAAGTCTGGGGAACCATTATTCTCTATCTCATGAGTGACCTCTGGATCTCTTTTATCCATTATCTCAGTTTTTTCTTTCTCAATCTGACATTCTTGCCTGTTTAATTCAGTTTCAGGACACAGTCTTGCCCATGCATCATCTGGCTCACCAAAAATTTCCAATGCCTCTTCAGCATTTTCAATAGCACCCTCATATTTTGAGTAAGTGGGATGATTTCGCTGCACAATGCTCTTGACTGCCTGTAAACTCTTATTTGGCCCTGTTCTTATGTATCCATTTTCAAAGAATGTTTGATAGAGTTCAAATCCTGATGGTTTCAGTTGATCCATTTTCCAGTATGGGAGAAATAGCTGTAGCATTGCCTGGTAATACTTTTCTGGTTCATTTTCTCTGTTAAACCGTGGATACCTTACAATAGCTGATTTGGACCTTGTTCTTTTCTGTATGTATCCTTTTCCATTTCTCAATTCAAAAACACTTTCTTTTTCACTCTGAGGAATCTGTGATTTAGCAAGCACTCTAAACTCTGAACAGAATTCTGCCAAACATGTCCCCATAAAGATGTCTTCAACTGGCCGGTTTTCATACCTCTCCACAATGTTTGTCATCCAAATGTCTTCATCATCATCATCTTGAGTATCAATATTTCCACTACAGTCTTCAATTCCAACCATATGTCTTTTTTTTATTTCAGCAAGAGGTTTACTTAAACGTGTTGGGTTTTCACCAACTGGAATAAATATTGTGTTCCTTGAGCACTCTTTCATTTTCAGATTGCATACTCTGTATACAGCTTCCTGTGCACTAACTTCTCTATGATTCAAATAAGCTGTCCCTATCTGTCTTATTGTCTGTTGAGCACTTAAATTTCCCTCTCTTGCCTCTATTTGTGTTTGTTTTAGCAACATTCCCATTTCTCTTTCTGATTTTGAGATATATGAAACAATATATACAATGCAGCTAAATGGATCCAAGATATATTGTATATCCATATTTGCATTCCATGATCTAAGTAAGCATGGATTGTACTGGTTTGTCCACATCTCAACTGGATTTCGTTTCAGAATAGTAGTGAGCTTTGTGGACAGAACTTTGTGTGCCATCTCATACAAATCTTGACTTAGTTCAATGCTTTCAAATATTTCTTCAGTTGTTTTCCTTTCACTGTTTTCCCCCAGAACTTCCTTCCATACATTTAATAATATCTCTTTTGCTTGTGAAGTTCTTAATCTCTCATCAGAAGAGTCGACAATTTCTTGCTCACATGGTCTGCTGATAAATGTTTTCTCTGATGGTGGCCTTGGAAAATTGAACCTACATTCAGTTTTCTTTTTCCTGCATGACTTTGAGTGATTCTTGCTATGTTGCTGTACATCTAATACAATCTTTTGGAGTTCAGGGTCTTCATCCTCAGATGGTAAAGCACAAGTGACATATTTGTCAATG